ATGTATATATATATTCATTTTTTGATTTAATTCCAAGAAACTCTAGAAACTATAACTTGGTAGACAACAGATTGATTGATAATATTTTTTTTATAAAGATAATAATTAAGTATTTTGTTAGAAGTTGACTATCCTAATTGTATTTTAGATTTTTTTATATTTAAAATGAAATGTTTATTCTCTATTTAATTATGTTTATATGCAGTTAATTACATGAATTCAAACATGAAGCTTTAATAAACTGTATTTGCACACAATTTACTTGTAATCTTGAATTTTAAGTAATATGCATTAATAAACAGTATTTAATGCAATATATAAAGTATATATATTCAACCACAAGGGTGGTGCCTGATTGGATTGAGCTTGGCTCCAAATGTCAAAAGTACCAAAATGTCATAAGTTCAAATCTGAGGAGAAATAAAAATCCGTTTGTGGCCACGAATGATCAAATGCGATGACTTCGGACTATATACAAAGCAGGTGGTCGTCCTAAAATTAGTCGGCTCGTATAGCAGTTGGATATCCAGGTTAATAAAAAAATTTATTTATTTATTTTTTGATTTAATTCCAAGAAACTCAGGAAACTATAACTTGATAGACAACACATTGATTGATTGAATTCTTAATTTCTAATCACAATAACAATCAAGTTTTTTCCACTATAATAATATTATTATTATTATTAACGTGTCAAATTAAAATTATTTTTTGAAAAATTATTTTTAAAATAAAGAAAATATACGGGAAAAAGTGATGGTACACAAACTATTGTTATGTTTGGTAAACTAACTGATAAACTAGCTGTTAGGTGATGAATAACTTATGTTTGACAAAAATTAGCTTATAAGCATGTAAAATGATTAAAAATGACATCCTTAAAAATGGTCAATTATACATATTTCATAATATAATTCAAATAAATTTATAATAATATAATTTAAATAAATTTCTAATAATATAATATGTTAATTAATMMAAMAAGATARTAAAGAAAAATTAAATAATATATTATGTTAATTGAAATAATTAGAATTGATTATTATATATATACTATAAATTTTGAATTTGTAGAAACAACTTCTAAAAAAAATATGCATTAATCTGTGATTTTATATAACCATTATATATAATATAAATAACAATAAAATTGGTCAATTTCATATATATTAATTAATTGATATTTTTTTCAACAAAAATAATTAACAATTCAATTAAATATTCTATTAAAATTATTTAAAACAAAATTTCGTAGGTTGAACAATTAAGTCCTTAGATCTTAAACAATGTCCTAACACTTCTAAAACGAAAGAACTATACTAAATATTAACAGGATTTATTTATTAGATAAATTCATTTATTTATTTGTTCAGATTCAATAATTATTTATTTATTTGATTTAAAAAAAATTATTTATTTAAAATATAAAATTCTTAAGGGCCGTGTACCAAACGTTTACCTGAGTAATCACTTACCAACTCACATTACCTTACTGAATGAATACGATAAGGACCAAGAATCTTATCGGGTAAGAGCGATACAAGAACCAAGAGTCTTACTCGGTAAGTGAGGGCGACGACTCTAACTGCAGTAAGCGTTTATCGGGTAATTATTGCATACGATGTCATTTTGATGGACTAAAATCTTACCTGATAAAAAAATAATAGTGTTAAATTTTACTGATAAATACTTATCAAGTAAGTGTTTAGTAAATGATCCCTTAATTTTTATAAACTATTTCAAAAAATTAATTAAAATAAGTGACCAAATTCATATAAAAAACAATATAACGTACAAAAGAACATTAATTATTTAGTATCCATGTTAATTAAATTATGTAAAATGAAATAAAATATACTTATAACAAAACTCGATGATATATCACACCACATGCATATCCATCCACGTGCGGGTCATGTGTTCCCACGAGTGCCAAATAAATGCTGTTTTGCCTGCCAATTAACAGCTGGCTTTTTTCTGTTTCAAATTTTTTTAATGCTTCACTAATCCCCTAACAACATTTTTTAATGCATCATTAACCTTTTGATTTATATTTACAGCTATAATAAGTTTTTATGTTACCCTATTGTTCATGTAGGTTGTCCACATATAACATATTGTTGAGATAACATTTCTTGTTACAACATTATATTTTCAAACATTTAAATTTACATGTTATTTAATAAATATAGTAGATTAATTAAATAAATATGAATTATTCATTAATATAACAATATAAAAAAAACTTGTTGATCATAATTTATTTTCATAATATTTAAAAAATGTTTTAAGAAAATATTTTTTGAAAATAAGAATTGTTATTATTATTTTAAATATTTATTTAATAGAGTGGAATTCACCAAAATGACCAAAATATACTTGATATATTAACGAAATAACCAGATCGCCCCCGAGGGGCGAGGGTTGACCACGGGGGAGATCCCCACTTCTTTGACCAAAAAAGTACAAAAATATATATATAAAAATAATTTGGTGGGTCCCACAAGCATCCCCTTTAGGGTACAAACATATACGCCTCGATTTTCATGGATATACCTCCGGGGGCGATCCACGTCACTCAATCGTCCCCTGGGGGAGATCCTATT